TCCCCGTTGGGGAGGCAGCCCGTGCTGCCTTATCTGGCTGTCACGCTGAGGGTGTTCCTGTGTTGCCTGTAGGAGAGAAACCTCACAAGTGCGAGCTTTGCAACTTTACGTGCCGGGATGTGAGCTACCTGTCCAAGCACATGCTGACCCACTCCGACGACAAGAACTTCATGTGCACCGAGTGCGGGTACATCACCAAGTGGAAGCAGTACCTGAACGTCCACATGCGCAAGCACACTGGAGATCTCCGGTATGACTCCTGGCCCCGTTGGCCTGGCAGCATAGTCAGGGCTCCCAAGGGTCCTGTTCCAGGTGTCTGCTGCTCTGGTGTGCATTGTGTGCTAGACCCTCTCGTGCCTGGGGGATGGTTACAGTCTGCTTTGTCTGACACGTAAGAAATGTGGTCTTTGAGCTTGCAGGTTGTTGCAAACATGGTGCTGCAGAGGCAAAGCTATTTTTGTTGTCTTCATGCCCCCAAGGAGGTGTATTACCACATCGGTGTAGCTCTGGGTTCATGGGCTCTGCTGACATTTGTGGGCCAAGGCCAGCTTGGGCACGTGTAGGACTCTGCCAAAATGTGTTGGTCACCTCTGCGTTATCACCACGTATGCTTTGGGCATAGTCTGCCTCCAGGGATGCTGGAGGTGCTGCTGGTGTGACACGTGTGCATGGAGGTGACGTGGTCACTCCATGGAGTACCCAGGGAATCTCTCTCCCTCCCCAGGCTGGGGTGTAAAGCACCAGCAGTGCCAAGGCCCGCAGCAGGGAGGAGTTCCTTGTGGTATGAGCTACTTGGATGGCAGAGGTCAGACCTGGCAAACAGTATCCCCTCCCCACGTGTCCGGGAAGGGGAAGCGGAGCTCAGCTTGCCTGACAGGGCTCAGCCTGTGCCAGTTCCTCAAGCCCCCTGACCAATTCTGCTTTCCCCACAGTTACCAGTGCAACCAGTGCTCGTACCGGTGCCACCGTGCTGACCAGCTGAGCAGCCACAAGCTGCGGCACCAGGGCAAAAGTCTGATCTGCGAGGTGTGTGGCTTCGCTTGCAAGCGCAAGTACGACCTGCAGAAGCACATGCAGGCAAAGCACTCGCAGAACTACCAGGTGCCCATCTTCCAGTGCCAGTACTGCACCTACCAGACAAAGTACAAGCAGGCGCTGCTGAACCATGAGAACTGCAAGCACACCAAGCAGAAGGAGTTTCGCTGCGCCCTCTGCTCCTACTGCACCTTCAGCAACACCAGCCTCTTCTTCCACAAGCGCAAGATCCACGGCTATGTCCCTGGTGACAAGGACTGGCTGGAAAACTACGCCAACAAGGAGCTGGAAATCAGCTCCTCTGAGGTGCTCTTTGGGTACGAGCTCGGCGCAGCCCTGCGTACAGACGCCAGTTCCCCACTCACCGGCAAGGAGCAGTGGACAAAGGTGAAGCCATCCCAGCCAGAGTCTCAGGGGGAAGAGGGCTGCCGGCAAGCGTTCATGGAGCCCCTCCTTGGGCAGGATGCCGCTCCACTGCAGAGCAGTGGTGAAGCAGAGAGAGGTGTGGGTGAGCGGGAGCAGCACTGTGCTGCTGCTGCTGATGCTCTGGAAGATGACTGCATGCAAGGAGACGCTGCCACAGACTCAACTGAGCTTGCTGCTTCTGGGGACGTGGCGGAGAGCTGCACGCTGCACTTGGAGCCACTGAATGTCTCGTCTGATCCCCTCCTGGAGCATTTGACTGGAGAATCCTGCACAGCACAGCTGGAGAGCGTGGAAATGCTGTCCTGCAAGGAGCTTCCTGCAGCTTATGAGATGCTGGGCTCCCGGGATGACCTTGGCTTGGAGGGCAATGACAATACACTTGAAGACATCGCAGACTTTGAGGAAGAGGAGGCAGATGTACAGAAGGATGAAGAGGTGAGGCTGGAGGACAGGGAAGCAGCGAGAGACAGCCAAGGAAAAGACTCCCACAGACAGGCCACAGGCCACTTTGAGGGGTCATGCTTGGACCACCAAAAGCTGGAGTCAGACACTGAGATGAGAGAGACCAGCCGAGCCAAGCTGCCAGAGGCCTGGCTCAGCGTGCTGAAGACGGCTGAGCAGAGCCACCTGCCTGTCCCAGAGGACACAGCCACCTCTGGTGGTGATGCCAGGGGCGGCTCGGAGTCAGTGCTAAAGGCACTGCGGAAACAGGACAAGGAGCAGGCAGAGACGCTGGTGCTGGAGGGCAGGGTGCAGATGCTGGTGGTGCAGTCAGAGAGCCAGATCTTTAAGTGTGAGAAGTGCTCATACATCACACGGAAGGAGAAGTCCCTGTCCCTGCACTCTAAGGCCAGCTGCCAGAGCCGCCGGGCCCCACTCGTATGCCATGAGTGTGGTGCCAGCTTTAAACAGCAAAGGGGGCTCAACACCCACCTCCTCAAGAAGTGCCCAGTCCTTCTGAAGAAGAACAGGATCTTCAAACCAGCTGGTCAGGAGCCACCTGGGTTGTGCCGACCTGCTGACCAGCCTGGTGACAATGGTACAGAAATGGAGGGCAAGAGGGAAGGCTCAGAGAAGTCCAGGCAGGCCGAGAGCTCGTGGGAAGCTGAACTGATGTCTGGTAAAATGCAAGCAGTAGACAGGTCTTTTGCTGGGGAAGAGACTTCAGGCTGTCCTGCCCCTGAAAAATCCCTGCCAGGTGACAGCACAGAGCTGGTGGAAGAGCCTCTCCAGCAAGGGGGTGAAGCTCACCCAGGTGGAGCTGCTTGTCCTTCCCAGCCTGGGAAAGCCTTGGAGAAATACCGGCTGGAGGGAGGGAAGCTGCACTGCAATGCCTGCTCCTTCATGTGCTCCCGCGTCTCCACCATCACCTCCCATGTGGAGGACGGGTGCCGGAGCTTGGAGCCGTTCTGGTGCTCCCTGTGCCCTGAGGTCTTCCGCTCTCAGCGGGCCCTCAAGAATCATCATGTCGAGAACCACATGGTGCATCCTGAGGAGGATGGACCCCAGAGCACCAAGATCCCCAAAGGAGACCTGGCCAGCGTTGAGACAGGCCAGCTCAGTGAGCCTCCTCTGAATGCAGCCTCCCCACAATCCGCCCTGCCCAAAAGAAGGCGTTTCTCCTGCCCCACTTGCCCCTTCACCTGCCACCAGGAACGGGCCATGAAGACGCACAAGAAGAGGGGCTGCGTGGCGCTCGGCGAGTTTCGCTGCACCTCCTGCCCCTTCACCTCCAAGGCGGCCAAAGCCCTGCGGCTGCACCACAGGCTGCACCGCAAGCACTACAGCAAGCGGCCGCAGCTGCAGGGCCGCCAGTGCGAGTTCACCTGCAAGCAGGCCCGCTGTCTGCGGCAACACATCCGCATCAAGCACGAGGGGGTGAAGCCACACAAGTGCCGCTACTGTGACTTCAGCACCACGCGGCGCTACCGCCTGGAGGCCCACCAGTCCCTGCACACCGGCGTGGGGCGCATCCCCTGCGGCATCTGCAGCCAGACCTTCGGCACCAACTCCAAGCTGCGCATCCACCGCCTGCGAGTGCACGAGAAGACACCCACCCACTTCTGCCCGCTCTGCGACTACAGCAGCTACCTGCAGAACGATATCACCCGCCACGTCAACAGCTGCCACCGCGGCGAGCTCAACTTCGGCTGCTCGCGCTGTGAGGCTCGTTTCAGCTCCGAGACGGCCCTCAAGCAGCACGTCCTGCGGCGGCACGAGGAGAAGGTGTCCTACGGCTGC